CTGCCTTCAATGGTGCTGGGAGAGGAGAGCTGGGAGCAGCCCCAGCATGGACAGAGCTGGCACGGACAGCCCTGGCACAAGCGAGTGGCAGAGGGAACAGGTCTCACTGTCCTGCCTCGGTGAGAGCAGATTCACCCCCCAGATTTCAGCCTGCAGAGGCAAAGGACACTCCTCTGCCCAGAGCTTCACAGAGCCGTGGCTCGGGTGTGACCACTGCCCACACACCCTCCATCCAGCCCAACAGCCCCTCCCCGACCACAGCACAACCCAAAACTCACCCACAGGCTGTGATGAACCAACAAGCAGGGGGCTGGGACAGGAGGGGGCTGGGACAGGAGGGGGCTGAGCTTTGCAGGGCACCAGTTCTCTTCTCTATCCTGAAATCCGTAACTCTTCATGCAGCACCTGATTCCCAGGTGTGCAGCCCCTGGGCAGGGCACGGATGGTTTTGGGGACAGCAAAGCACTGGGGGGGAGCGGGGTGGGAGCTGTAAGGGACAGGTAAGGGCACTTGCGGGAGGTTGAGCAGCTCAGGGGAGAGGTAGAGGCAGAAAGTGTCTATTGGCTTTGGCTCAGGGGGCACTGAGCTGTCTAGAAGGATTTGCTGCTGAGCTCAGAGGGCAGGAGCGTGGGGACTGTTAATGGGACTGGGTGGGGAGACAGGAGCTGTGCAGGGATGGGGGGGGTGGTGGCCTTTCCAGGAAACTCCCTCACTTGGTTGTTCCAAAGGGTGACACTGAACTGGATCAGCTGGTGGGGGAGAATTAGAACAGATTTCCTACCACACTGACTCCTGTCCTGTGCAAGGGGCTTCACAAGGTGTTTAGAAAAAGCCTTTCTGGCATTAGAGCCTGTTTGCAGAGCTGGAAAAAAAACTCTGATGGGTGTTGATGGTGCTGCTGACTCGTGGTGACATGACCTGGCACATGACAGCACATACCTCGGGCAGGGCAAGTGACACTCATCTCTCACCTCACTGACTTGAGGTACAACACGCTACTGCCAGCAACAGAGAGCTAAGCTCCCTCTGGCAGGTCTGCTCCTGTCCCCTGCCCTTCCCACCTGTAAACAGATCAGGCTGCAGAGATGAGGAAGCAGAAAGAGCCAGGGAGTGTTACAGCTCATGGCTGGGGTTTGGGAAGGGTCTGGCTCTACTCAGAGGGTGCCTGTGGGAAAGGGAAGGGTCAGACCATGGGTGAAGCTGAACGCAGGCGGTGGGGAGCAGCCTGCACACGAGAACGATGCAGAGCCAGAGGGTTCCCCGGTTCCTCAGGAGTATAACAGCCCCTCGCCCCTGCAGACACAGGCACCCAGGCCAAACCCTGCAGGACACACTCCTCCAGGTGACAATCCACCTTCGCTCCCACTAATTATCCTCAGCGTGGGGTCGTTTTGGCGCAGCCCATGCACGGCTCCGCTCCTGCAGTCGCCTGTGTGCAGCCAAGAGCCTGACTCGGCCGCTCCTCCGGTTCCTCAGAAGGCAGCAGCACCCATCTGCTCACCCCTGCACGGGGAGGAGACAGCAAGGTGAGCGTCAGTGCAGGGAACTGTCCTGCTGGGCTGGTTCCCATCAGTCTCTGTCACAAAGGCCAAAAGTCTCACTGGATGCAGCAAGAATAAAAAATAATCTTCAGACAGGTGATATCTGGACAGGTCCTTTCACCAAACACCCCCCTTCCCAGCGGGGAAGGACATGGTGACAGGGAAGGGCTGTTCCTCTGGCTTCAGGGGAAAATCTGCAGTTCAAACTTGGGTGCCCACTCCAGCGCACTCTTCACCACAGCCAGGGCAGCTGCTCCCAGCGCCACCGTCAGCCCCATCACCGCCAGCTTGACAAAGCGGTTGGTCCTTGGCTTTGTCAAGATGGATTTTGTCCGCTCCTCCCCTCGGAGCCGCTCCCTGAAGCGCTGCCTCAACACAGTGTCTGGTCTCTGCTGCACTGATGCCAACTCAAAGTCCTTAAAAGTGGAAGCCGCGGTTCTGCGAGAGAAGAAACAGGTCAAGGAGTGTCCCCAGGTCACCTCTGGGACCAGCCTCCTGCCAGGGAGGAAGATCTTCACGAGGAAGCGAGACCTGGCAAGGGGATGCACCGAACACACGAGCACTCACCGTTCAGCCTGCTGCTGAGCTGCCTCCCTGGCAAGTTCGGATGGTGGGAACTGGACAAAAAGGTCCCCAGCTCTGCTGATCAGAGTCTCGTAAGGAAGGTCCTGTGGGATCTGGGAGAGGAGGTGGTGGACAGAGGCCATGTCACACTCGCACTCCAGAACTTCCTGCTCCCGGTACAGCACAATCTGCGGAGAGGAGCGAGACCACTGAGGACAGCCAGGGAAGTGGAGACAACTCCTCGTTACTCACTTCGGAGTCAGAAGAGAAAAACACTTCACTTCAGCTGAAAGACTCGGGGACAGGCTGCAGTGAAACATCCCCCATCTGGGCAGGGAAACACCAAACCCTTCCCGAGACTGAGGCCATGGAGAGCCCCTTTCTCAGCAGTTACACCCGACTCCTGAGCACAGCCTGCTGCTGGTGGGTCAGAGACGTGGGTAGAACCTCAGCAGGGCTTGACTCTACAACTTGCCCTCAAACAGAGATTGGTTTGGACTTCCCATAGGAGAAAGGGCAGCTGGACACACAACGCAGGGCTGCCCCGGCCAGGCTCTCCAGCACGTGCCCAGCAGCGGGGCCAGCATGTGAAAGCAAAGAAAACACCAGGTCACGCTGCCTCCACGGCACTGAACTGGAACAGCCTGCAGATCTGGACACCCCCAGGCTGCCCCGAGCAACCCTGGATCCCACCTGCCCTCTGCCATGGCCAAGGACATCACTGTCCTCGGGGTGTCCTGCAGAGTGGGGTGCAGCCAGAAGCAGCAGCAGCACTGGGTCTGCCAGCCCCACTCTGCAGCCCCAAACTACCAGCACCTCGCAACAGCTCCATTAATCCCACCACCACTCTGGCCAGTACCTACCACAGCAGCAAAATAAATGGGCATCAGGGGATGGCACGCCAGGAAGAAGTCATATAATCGCACGACGTGCCTGAAGTCAGAGAGGACGTGCCCAAACCAGGTGATCAGCCAGCTGAGAGCAAAGATGGTGCCCACCTCCGCGCTGCGCAGAGAGAAAGTGCTGTTAGATCACCGCTGCCCACAGCTTGGCCAGCACTGAAACACTCCTGGGAGACAGACCTGGTTACTGGCAGAGCATCCAGAGCTCGGTCCACACCCAGGAACTGCCCCTCTGATTCAACCCCGAGGCACAGAACTCCTCCTCTCATGTCCAGTGGGGTCCATGGTCAAGGTCCGAGCAGTCTCCTTTCAGGAGAGGTGAATGTGTGATGGAGCACATCACCGTCTGGCTCGCTGACCTGAGGGCACCTCAAGTCCTGCAGCACCGTTAACTTTTCAGATTCCTTCCCACCCTAAAGGCTCACTGAGTTCTGGGAGTTTCTAATCAAACTTGGTACCCAAAGACATCCTGGACATGAAACCTAACAGAGACACCTGCCCAGGAAAGGACTCTGGACCAAACCTTCCCACTTACCTTCCTGCTTCGGCTTTAATCCGCCTGGACTACACTTGTGTGTCCCTAGTGCACAGCCTGGGAATTATCCCCAGAACTAGCAACAAACAAGGTGACACCAGCCACCACAATGGCACGTGAAGCAGTTGTGGCAGCTTTGTAAGTCACCATCTGCAACCCCCAACCTTTCCAACATGGACTGCAGAGCACTGGGGTGAGGGTGGCACCATGTAAGAGCCTCCAAGACAGGCAGCAGAGGTTTGGGTCTGCTCAGAAGCAGAGTGCCACACGGCTTTGGACTGTCACCATCAGCTGTGGGTCAGCTGTTGTCTCACTCTGAAGAAGCCACCGTGGTGCTGGGGACACGCTGGTGCAATGAACAGTAACACGAGAGCAGCAGGGAGGGCTAGGAGGCTCTGAGGGAAGGTCTGCGTACCTCTGCATGAAGTCATGCACCTTGGGGTTCACCTGGTCTATGATGGGCATCAGGTAATTTAATATGTGCTTGGTATTGTCCATCGTTGGGTCCATAAAATCCCTGAGGAAAGATTGAAAAGAAGCTCTGTCAATCAACCACGTCTGTGAGCTCTCCCTGCAGGGAGGCAGCCAGGAGGTCAATAAACGTACTTGCAATAAACAGCTTTGCTGGCAGGGTGGTCCCCAGCCCCAGGGAGTTCTATTTGGGACAGGCCCCCTCCACCTATCTGGGACACACAGGGCTGATCTGCACAGAAAGCCCAGACCCAGACAGTCACACTGGTGTCAGCTGACACTTCTTATTCTGCTGCAGTGCCTGTCTGAACCGTAAAGCCCTTCCAGTCCCCAAACCTAACCCCTGGTCTGGCAGAGGAGGGAGAATCCCTCCAAAGCACTCCCCAGCTGAAGGCTTGTTCTCATTTCAGTGCACAAAGAGGAGAGTGGCGTGACCCGGGGCTGAGGACACGGGCGGTGCAGAGCACGCTGCCCAGGGCTGGGGAAGGCTCAGTGGGAGGCACCGTGCTGAGCCAGCCCCCGGGAGCTGCAGAGGCCCTGACAGCCAGGACGGGCAGTGAGTTATGAACGATGCAGGTGTGTTGGCCATTTCAGCTTCAAGAGATGCTACAAATTAAGTGACAGCCTTCAATTATCCCTTCCCCAGAGCACAGCTCCCTGCAAAGCCATGTGCTATTGTGTGGAGGAGGCTGAGGGGAGACCTTCTGGCTCTGTCCAAGTCCCTTGGAGGAGGGTGGAGAGAGGTGGGGGTGGGTCTGTTCAACCAAGGACCAAGGGCCAGGACAAGAGGAAATGGGCTCCAGTTGTGGCCAGGGCAGTTGAGATGGGATGTGAGGAAGAATTTCTTTGCTGCAAGGGTTCTGAGGCATTGGAAGGGGTTGCCCAGGGCAGTGGTGGAGTCCCCATCCCTGGGGGGATTGAAGAGTCGTGTAGACACAGTGCTGAGGGACATGGGTTAGTCATAGGGGACTGGTCAGTGTTGGGTTCATGGTTGGACTCGATGAGCTTAAAGGGCTTTTCCAGTCCAGGCCATTCTGGGACTCTGTGCTCACACTGTTCTCACAGCACTCTGGGTACAGATGTGACACGCAGTCGGCCTTAGCCCCAGGCACAGCCCTCCCCACAGCCTGAGGACATACGGGCAGCTCCTGTCCCACCGAGCCCGGTGAGTACCTGAGATGATGCGTCGAGAGCTTTTCCACCAGAGCTGTGGCCAGTCTGTCCCCCACCACCAGGAGGAAGGTGACCACGATGTCATGGTAGCCCTGGTAGTAGTGCAGCTGGGGGTTACGCTTCAGGACATGGAGGATAATATCGATGAGCTCCTCCTGCAAACCTTCCCTCTGGTCATCTGGCATCCCTGTGGGGACAGGAGCAGGCAGCAGTGGGACAGGCTGTGTCACCTACTGGTGCCTGCCACAGGAGCGAGCGTGGCTGTGGTATGCAAGGAGAGGACCTGTGCATTTACCAACCTGCCTGATGCCAAGGGATGTGGTGCAAAGGGGAGAGAGGTAAAACTAGCAGAAAAAATATGTAATATCCCCCAAAATATCTCCCCCAAACTCTGATGGCCCAGGGGAAGCTGGTCAGTTGTTTGATCTTTGGAGCTGCAGTGCCCCTGCCTGTGAGGATGTCACCATGGAGGACAGGAACAGGGTTCAGTGCAGAGTGAATTGTGCTGCACACCCAGCGCTACCAAGGACATTTTAATCATTTTTAATTTCCCAGGAGTTCTTCAAAAAAATTAAACAGGACACCAGAAACTGTGCCAACTGCCTCGGATGGCGAGGCCTCCACCACCACAACTTTATATTGGTCCCCTGCTAACAACATGTGTTTAGGGACAGGATGTCACAGGAAAAACACTGTTCCTGCCACGCACAGCTGCAGTTGGTTTCTGGCAGTCTTTGTCAACAGATAAAATGCCCAAAGGCCAAAGCAGAAAGTCCCGGCGGAGACCCTGCAATGACAAAGTTCTCCTTTTCCCCTGCTTCACTAACGAGTCTAAAAATAGGCAGGAGCTGCCATTCAAGGGCAAAAAATTCCATCCTAGCAGATCCTTCAGGAATCAGCCTCGCACACAGGATCCACACTGGACAGAGGATCAGAGTCAATCAGCTGTTTATGCAAAAGGAAAGCAGCAGAAGCGGATCCTGGGCAGGAGCAACGACCGCTGCAGTGACACGGCTGCTGGATTAAATGTGGTATAAACAGCACAACAAGGCACCAGCCTCCCATCAAAACCAAACAACTGCAAAAGCATTTCACTTCTGAAGGTTCAGAGGTCTCTTAAATTTGGTGTGTGAACCCCATTTTCAGACTGTTTTGCACCAGAATTTGGTTTAACTGATAAATTTGTCTTCCATGCCCCTGAGCCAGCCCAAGGTCTAAAATAAACTGAAGCAAAGGGCACATTTCTCAAAAACTCCATCCCCCAGAGGTGAGGGGCACGTGGGATCCCACCCTCTCTGCACTGCCGTTTTTGGATGGTACCTGTCTGCTGGCAGAGGGGGCTCAGCGGGGCAGGGGGGGCTCGGCGGGG